AAAGAAAAGGTCTGATTCATCTCATTTTTGTATGATGCTGAAAATTTGATTTGCCTAGAGGTTGTATATCATCAAATCTTACATTAATATCCACTTGTTCATTAATGGGGTGGTCCACCTTTCCCCCCAGTTCTGTAAAAGTGTTAACTTTGTCCATTTGTTATAAAGGTCAAAAATAAAAAGCACTGTTTCTATTGGATGGTTAATTCCTCTGGGGAAAATTGGTTATAAAACTCTGGATCAAAGTGTAAGAAGTACATTTCATTTATTTTAACATGAGATTCTAACTGATTGAGCTACTGACCATATTTAATCAGTGCAAATTATAAAATTTGAGGTCAGAAAACCCTTGTTAAAGTTTTAAATATGTTTGTGTAAATTTAGATCTTAATATATGCAGAAAAATATTTTACTTTTTCAGTTAATTTTTAATTTGGGTTAAAAGGTATATGCATTCATCAGTGTAAAGTGACCACATTAGTTTGTATAGTTGCTCATCTCTTGTGATAGTATTTCCAAAATAAATCACACTATCTAGATAAGCTTTTGCAAGATGGGTTTTTTTTTTTTTTGGTTGTTTTATTGTACTTTAAAGATTTTATTTTTAAGTAATCTCCACAACCAACGTGGGGCTTGAACTCACAATCCTGAGATCAAGAGTCACATGCTCCCCCAACTGAGCCAGCCAGGTACCCCTAAGCTTTTGCAAGTTTAATCTCTCTCTAGGTATGAAATAATCTGAAGAAAATATGTGTAAACTTCCTAAAGAAATATAATATGCTTTGAAAAAGTCAGTTTCTTCCAACAGAATAATCCTTTTGTTACACTATCAAAACTAAAATCTTGCATATTCTAGACAGTGTTTTCTTTCCCCCCTTAGTTGTATGTGAAAGCCAGCTGTTTTGGAAATTTTGGTTTTCATTTTTTTAAGTGGGGAAACCAATCGTCCATACTAATGTTAAAACTTGGTTTCCATTCTGTTTTAGGTTTCTAAAAATTGAATAACAGTAGCATACATGTACCATAGTAAAAATACCTATGTGGGATTTTCTTCTTCTTCTTCTTCTTCTTAATGCCTCTTATGAACTGTTTTTGCTCACAACACTTCTGACACCAAATATGTGTGTTTTCTCCTCTGCCCAACTACTGATTCTCTGGACACTAACTGTTGTCTTAAAATTCAATTCACTTCTGACACTAGCTACTCAGAGTTAGTGCTGATTGCACAGTCTAAGGACTTAGTCCCACAAGACTGTCCTGACTTCAGATGCCTGTCACAAGTTCCGTGTTGCTAGCTGTGCGTCTGACCAACCAGCTACAAATTGGGAGTTCCCATGATCCCTTTCTCAGGTTTGATGATCAAAACCTTTGATTTGCTAGGATGGCTCACAGAAATTAGGAAAGTGCTTTACTTATGCTGACTGGTTTATTATAAAAGATACAACTGAGAAATAGCCAAATAGAAGAGATGCATAGGGCAAGGTATGGAGGGGAGGGGAGGTATGGAGGATGCACAGAGCTTCCATGCATTTCCTGGGTGCGTCCCCCCTCCCCTCCGCCAGTACATCAATACCTTGATGTATGTGCCAGTCTGGAAGTTCCATTATGTGAGCATGACTGGTTACATCATTGGCCATCAGTGATTGAACTCCATCTCTAGCCCCTCTCCTCTTCTCAGAGGAGGGTGAGACTGAAAGTTCTAACTAATCGTATGGTTGTTGTTGTGGCAACCGGACCCCGTCCTGAAGCTGTCTAAGGCCTCACCAAAAGTCCCCTTACTAGCATAATAAACTCAGGTATGGTTGAAAAGGGCTTGTTATAAATAACAAAAGATGATCCTATCACCTCTGTCACTTGAGAAATTTAAGGGTTGTAGAAGCTCAGTGCTTCTTATTATCACACCTATTACAATTTGGGATACAGGAAAGTAGAAAATGAGAGGAGGAAGGTTTCAGTGTTGATTTGCTTTTTGGATTTTTAATTGTAATCTTCAGTTTATATTTAAAGGGGAATTCTAAAATACAACAGAGTGGGGTGCCTGGGTGGCTCAGTCAGTTAAGCGGCTGCCTCTTGATTTTGGTTCACATCATGATCTCAGGGTCGTGTGATTGAGCCCTGCATCGGGCTCCAAGCTCAGTGTGGAGTCTACTTGAGGATTCTCTATCCCCCTCTCCCCCTCCGCCAGCTCGCATGTGCTCTCTCTCTAAAATAAATCTAAAAAATAAAAATAAAAAAATACAGAGCATGAAGATATTCCTTGCAGTAATAGCCATATTCCAGGATATAATCTCAGTGTATCATATTTGGGATAGCAAATAAATTACATCAATAGCATGGGCTATTAAGATGCTATTAAATAAAAAAATGATTATAATACACAAGGAAAATTTTGATACAAATTCAAACGAAAAAAATTGTAAAGGGAATGAATGTTAAGCCTCAATTAAATGCCAGTCATATATCATTTAATCCTTACTATTACATAGGGTAATCAAAATATGGAAGTTTCTGCTATCACAACTATCCAACAAACATATATGCACATGTACAAAAAACAATGTAATATGATAAATAAAGACTTAAGTTGGTAGAATCATGGGTATCATTTAAGGATTGCATTCAGCTGCTTATAAACAAACACCCCACTTAGTGTAGCTTAAACAAACAGGGCCTTAATCTTTTTTATGTAAAAACCCCTGAAGAAGGTGATCTGTCAGGGTCTTAAAAACCTTCTTCTTTCTGCTCTGCTATTTTCTTAATGTATTGGTTTAGTCATTGTTTCTTCATGATTTTAAAATGGGTGCTCCACCGCCAATGTCATCTCTGCCTTCTAGGCAAGAAGAAAGGGAAGGTCCTAGAAAAAGCCTCCTGCCAGGGGCGCCTGGGTGGCTCACTTGGTTAAGCAACTGCCTTCGGCTCAGGTCATGATCCTGGAGTCCCGGGATCGAGTCCCGCATCGGGCTCCCTGCTCGGCAGGGAGTCTGCTTCTCCCTCTGACCCTCCCCCCTCTCATGTGCTCTCTCTCATCCTCTCTCTCTCTCAAATAAAAAAAAAAAAAATCTTAAAATAAAAAAAAAAAAAAAAAGAAAAAGCCTCCTGCCAGATGATTCTCTCTCCATTCAATGAGTTTTTCTGGAAATCTCTAGGGACTTTTACTTTTATTTCAGAACACAACACCCAGTTACCATTAGCTGAAAGGAAGTCCAGAAAATGTATTTCTTTAAAGCTGGGCATAGTGCCACCTGGAATAAACGAGAGGTTATGTTGGTTAGGAAGGAGGGAGAGGACATTAGATAAGTAATTGGGAAGTATCTGCCAAGTTCTTTTTCCTTGAATATTGTGATGCTTTTAATAATAAAAAATACACTGTCTGAGGCAAGAAAGCCATCTGGTAGTGGGTGAGATGTTAATGGCCCCTGATGATCCCAGTTCCTTTTTTTTTTTTTTAAGATTTTATTTATTTACAAGAGAGAGAACGAGGGGTAGAGAGAGAGGGAGAAGCAGACTCCCCGCTGAGCAGGAAGCCACTTGCAGGGCTCCATCCCAGGACCCTGACTGAGATCATGACCTGAGCCGAAGGCAGACGCTCACCCGACTGAGCCACCCAGGAACCCCATGATTGCAATTTCTTAACTGATTTTTTGGATTGTCTAGATCCTTTCCATTTTCTCTTTCTCACTCAGCCTTAAACCATTATATCCTAGAAAGTCTGTAGAAGCAGCAAATAGGTGGAGTTTTATTACTTTTTATGGGACTTATTTGAGAGTTCAGAGAAAAATACAGCATTGAAACTTTGCGTGCTGCAACATAGATTTGGATATTGTGAAGAGGCTGTGTGCTCAGGAGCCTTCTGTGAGCCTCAGTTCCTCATGTGGAAAATATAATAGTATGACCTGCAGTGCTGCTTCACAGGGTTTTTGTGAACATGAAATGGAAGAGGTAGTGCCTCCATTTTTGTGTAGAGTAATACAACTTACGCTGTCAGACCTATTATCTAATTTGGTGGTCCAGAGTCACATCCATTTCATGGTGCAGGTTAGCCTGGAGCTTAGCACTCCTGACTCCTCCTTTAGATAATGTATGGTAATGTGTCTACCCTATTCAATAGCATTACCTTTGTAGGTATTCTGTAATTCAGCATTTTATGTTGTTATTTCCATACTAACATAACTTGATGGGTGAAAGTGTGGTGGTAGGTAGGATCGAATTAGATCTAACATAAGTAAATCTCTGCAAAGTGCAGAGTGATGGATAATGACACAAAACATTCATGGGATACAAATGACAAGGGAATTATTTAGGGTCAGGGTGACAGATCTAGAAAGAGGGATTGTGCTTACCAACCGTTTAGCCATTTCAGCTATTGATGTTGATTTATGCTGGAGTGTTCTCTTTGCTGGTTCATCAGTACCAAGTTTGAAGGAATATATTTCCTAATATTTTATATGTTGATAGAAAAACAAATGTGATATTGTACAAATCAAGCACAGATTTTTAGAAAATTGCATCTAGAGTGTCACCAATAAAAGTGTTTATAATAGTTCTATGACTTTTTGGAGACAGGTGGATATTTATTGAGTTGAACATTAATGTTCTGGTTGATGTATGTATTTTATTGATGTAAATATTTTAAAAGCTTAAAAATTAAGAACTATTTACATATAGATTGTTTAATTTTGAAAGTTTCTAGGAGCCTTTAATACAACACTGTTTTACAAATTGTGTGTTTTTTCTTTTCTTTCTTTTTTTTTTTTTTTTAAAGATTTTATTTATTTGAGAGAGAGAGAATGAGAGAGAAAGAACACATGAGAGCGGATAGGGTCAGAGGGCGAAGCAGACTCCCTGCCAAGCAGGGAGCCCGATGCGGGACTCGATCCAGGGACTCCAGGATCATGACCTGAGCCGAAGGCAGTCGCTTAACCAACTGAGCCACCCAGGCGCCCCTCTTTTCTTTTTTTTATTATGTTAATCACCATGTTTTTTCCTTTCTCTCCCCTCAGTGAGTTACCTGAAAGAGAAGAAGGTGAAGGAGAAGAAACTCCAAACTTCAGCCACTGGGGTCCACCAAGAATGTATGTTGATGACATTATTGGCTTTCTCAGGAGAACACAATCAGTTAGTTGCTCTTAAATTTCATAGTGTCATGTGGACATGTACTGATTGAGAAATTGCCATCATCCACATGTAGGCTGGCCTAAATTTTAGTTTTGTCTTATCTAGGGATTTTTAGCCAGGCAAAATGACTATAATCAACATTAAATGGAAAGTTTTATCATAGTTTTTCAGAAAAAGCAATTTACAAATGTCCATGTATGATAGTAACCAATGGACTAAGTATACTTTATTATTGCACCACTGCCTTGAATGCAGTAAAATTTCTTCCTTTTTTTTTTTGTTTTTTTAAATAACAGCAACAGTAGTTGAGGCTTCTAGCATGTATTCATTTATCTCTATCCTCCTCCTCTTGTGTTCGTCCAAGTTTGTGTCTTGTTTGAGCTAACAGAATATAAAAGTCTTCCTTTAGCTGCTCTATTCTGCATGCATTATTAATCCCACGGTACCCACCCACATGGTCTGTTTTCTTCTTGCACTTCTGTGTTTTGTCTTAAAGACTCTTGGGCACTGTTTTTCTGAACTACTTTTTAATTTCAATTAATCATTGGCCACATCTGCAGTCTGAGTAAAATTCATAACCATTTGAAGGGCAAGTTTTATTCCATACTTTATTTTAAAAAGTGATGTGGAGGTAGGAAGAAAAGAGAGCCTGCCAGCTTTAAGAGCAAAATCTGTCCCCTACTTAAAGAAGCACAGGTTAAACCTGCTGACTGGAAAAGGCAGCTAGGGCAAGAAGCCTTTTAGTGGCAAATTTATTTTATTGTGGAAGTCTGTGCTTTTTGCCAAAATGATAATATGCGACTTTCTTGATTCCCCCACCCACCCACCCATTTGTTATTTCCTTCATCCATTCTTTGCTGATGTTAGGGATATAGAATTAAAGAACTAATTATAGAAAATATATTGTGGTAGGAGATGGGAACATTAAGGCCAACCAAAATCTCTGAATATTAAGAGGGTGTATTTATTGTTTTAGAAATATTTCCAAATTCAAGCTTTCACGTGGGCCATGAATGATTGATAATGTCCTATAATTTTGGAACTAGGTACAGTTTCGAAAATTGTAAAAATATATTCATATAAAATATGAGTCACAAGGATATGGTCCAAATCAAACACTTATAGTGACCATCCAACAAATTATATTAACTTGCTCATAAGTGAATTCATTTTCTTTTTACAGTGTTGAGATATTTAGGGAACCCAGTGTGTCTCTTGGTATTAGTATTGTTGGTGGACAAACTGTTATAAAACGCCTGAAGAATGGAGAGGAACTTAAAGGTATATTTATCAAACAAGTTTTAGAAGACAGTCCAGCAGGAAAAACAAATGCTCTTAAAACAGGAGATAAAATACTTGAGGTAAGTGATGTTAAAATTCCGTTTTTGTTTGAAACCTACTTTAAGACAGTAATCATTTAACTGGAAGTCCTTCCTTCATTTGTTGGGGGTATATGTGGATACAATTGGTGTATTTTCTTTCAATGCCCTAGTTTGTATGTTGTTTGCATAATTTTATGCATTTTAAAGTTGGGGTGGTTATCATATAGCATAGACAAAGGATCAGCTGACTAAAAAAACAATTTTACAATTTAACAGAATGAGTCAGCTCGTTAGCATTGTGTTTCTCCCATAGTCTTCAACAAACTCTAATTTTTTTTCATCATTTAAAAAATTTCTAATGTTCTGCTTTTAAATTGAAGTATAGTTGTCATACAATGTGACATTAACTTGCAGGTGTACTAGGTATAGACAATTCTGTACATTATGCAATGCTCGCCACGAGTGTGGTTAGCATCTGTTGCCATACAACATTATTACAATATTATTGACTATATTCCCTATAACAAGCTCTACATTGTATAAATATGTGTCAGTGGGATAGCCATGCTCATCCAGCCTCCATTGGAGGAAGGGGTGACTCCATTGTTCACATGCGTAGGCTTTACAGAGCAGCAGAATTTAGGGCACATCAAGGCGCTGAGAATGTCCTGAGGTCTGAATCTCATACATTTCTTTGCACTGGGTTTATTGGATGGACATCATATTAAATAGCTTCAATCCCAGAATAGTGTTCTTGATACATGCTTTATGATGCTAAACTTCAGCTGTGGTGCTTTAGTTCTGATAGAATGAAAAGAGCCCTGGAGGTCACGGGTTGAAGTCTTGATTGTGCTGTTTATTTTGTATCTGTTCTTGGACATATTATTAAACCCACCTTATTCTCAATTTCGAAATAAAATGGAAATGAGAATCTAAAACTCATAGCATCATTGTGACGATTAAAGCCAAGAACTGTGTAAAATTGCTCTGAATATACAAATATTAGGTTATATTTGTGTTTTTGAAATTAAAAGATTTCAAACACACTGGGGTTATGGCAGTGAAGAAAATGAGCAAAATTCCTACTCTTAGGTTATTTACATGGTAGTGGGGAAGATAGATAACGTACGTAATATGTAGAGTGTTAGATTGTAGTAAATAGCAGAAAGATAAGGAGGAACGAAGGGCAGTGGAGGTGCTGATTGCAACCGATAGATAGGTTATGGAAGATGATGTTGGGACAAATACAGGAAGTGAGAGAGTGAGCCATGTGGATGTATAGGGGAAGAAGTCTCTAGGCAGAAAGAACTAAAATGCTTAAGCTCTGAGGTAGGAGTTTGCCTGACTATGTTGAAGGAACAGAAAGAAGTCCAGCACCACTAATGTAGGTAGAGTGAGCAAGAGAGTGTGAAGAGAAAAGTCTGAGAGGTAATGTGAAGCCACATCACAGAGAGCTTGGAAAGTTGTCCATTCTAGAATTGTGAATGTGTACATATTTTAAAAGGATTACTCTGACTTCAGGGGCAGGTGGGGTTTCCTTTATTTAGTATTTGCATACATAGCACATTGTTTTTTTCATTCCTTCATTTTTACCCTTGTGATTTTGTTTTAGTTGTATGTTTTGTAAGCAACATATATAACTGGATTTTGCTTTTTTAAATCTACCTTGATAATCTTCATCTAGTAAAGAACTGACACGGATTCATTTTTTACTTTGATTACTGATATATTTGAACTTAGTTTTTAAATATGTATCTGTGTTTTGTGTGGTCCTTTTTCTTCCCCTTAACTTTCTATTTTGAAACAGTCAAAGGAAATTGTAAAGAAATGTACAAGGAAGTCCCAGGTGCTCCTCCCTCAGCCTCCCCCCCAGGTTACTGTGTGACACAACTGTAGAACATGAGCAGAACCAAAATACTGATAAGGGCACAACACCAGTTACATAGGCACTGATATATAACTTGGTGTATTTTTATAGCTCTACGCAGTTTTATCACATGTGTAGCCTTGCCTGACCACCCCCACAATCAAAGAAACTCAATGTATCACTGTAAGACTCCCCTGTGTTGCCCTCTACAGCCGTTCATCTCCCCTACCATATCCCCCCATACCCAACCTCTGGCAACCACTAATCTGTTTCTTCATGTCTATAATTATGTTATTTCACAGTTGTCACATAAATGGAATTACGTATTCTGCATCTTTTTGAGATTGGCTTTTCTCACTCAGCATAATTGCACTGAAGTTCATTTAATTTGTTGTGTCCATCAATAGTTCATTCCCTGTTATTGTGACTGAATACTTCTATGGTGTGGAGGTACCACAGTTTAACCATTCACTCATTGGAAGACACCTGGGTTGGGGTGCCTGGGTGGCGACTCTTGGTTTCGGCTCAGGTCATGATCTCAGGGTAGTGCAGTCGCCCTTTGTTGGCTTCCGCGCCCTTTGTTGGCAGTCTGCTTGGGACTCTCTCTTTCCCTGTCCGCCCCCGCCCCGCCCACCCTGCCCCGTGCGCTTGTGTTCTCCCTCTTTCTTTCTCAAATAAGTAAATAAATCTTTAATATATATGTGTGTGTGTGTATGTGTGTGTGTGTATATATACACATATATATATATAAAAGAAAGGCACATGGTTTCCAGTTCTTGGTTATTATGAATAAAACGTCTCTACACATTTGTATACAAGTTCCTAAGTGAAAATAAGTCTCCATTTGTCTGCAGTAAATGCCCAAGAATGCAGTTGCTGGTTGTATGGTAAGTCCATTTTTAGTTTTGAAAGGAACTATTTTCCAGAGTAGCTGTACTATTTTACATTTCCACCAGCAGTATGTGAGTGATCCGGTTTCTCCACATTTTCACCAACATTTGGTGTTGTCACTATTTTTCATTTTGGACAGTCTCATAGGTAGATAGTGATATCTCATTGTTCTGAGTTTCCCTAATGGCTAATAATAAAGAACTCTTCATGCCATCTGTACATGTCCTCTTTAGTGAAATGTTTGTGCATGTCTTTTGCCTGTTTTCTAATTGTATTGCTCATTGTTTTATCTTTTTAAATTAGGTGTTTTCCCCTTCATCTTTCCTGCTTTGAGTTGAATACAAAGTATTCTCTTACTTATCCATCACTTTTATATACTAATAAGAACCCACTGTTTTATCCCAGATTTAATAATTTCTTTAAACCCACAGCAGATTTGAAATGTTAACACTTTAATATTTATTTTGTCAAGCATATGGAGTCATTTGTTTACTTTTTTTTTCCTGTGAAAAGCATTACTCATTTGTTTTGTTTTTAAGGAAAGCTTAATAATCATTTCTCTCTGCCTTGAAACAATTGCATAAAGGAGCTAGATCTGTATAAAGAAGGATTTGTTGACCTGGGAAGTTAGCGATTAATTTAATTTTGGGAAATGGGTCTTACCCGTGTGAATGGACATACTTCTGGGTTATACATTTAAAGCTGAGAAAAGCGTAAGATTATATTTCTGCTGTAATATAACAGAATTCCATTTTTTCCCTAACTTCTAACTTCAGTGATTCCCATTTAACCCTGTGGAAATGTGTGTTGGGGAAACAAAAGCTGATTATTACTCGAAGATGAAATGGTTCTATAGCTTCTACTTCTCTTACTGTTGAATGTTTTGGGGATTAGGTTATTCATAAGAAGCTTCTCCAAACTGTTGTGATAGCTTTTAAGCTTCAGTTAAATTTTTTTCTATATTGGTTTACTATTATTCATATCCTTCCTGAGTTCATATGGGAAGAGATGTTTTCACAGAAAAGAGGTTTTCACAGAAGAGAAGGTTTCATTAAAACCTTCCAGGGGATATCTGTCAGAATAAAAGGCCAAAGTTCTTGCCACAGCCTCTGTGTGGTCGTGTGGCTTCAGCTGCCTCCCTGACTCATCTCTCTGCACTCTCCCTTGCACTGGGCGCTACACTCACCTGCTTTTAAACCCCTCTCCCACACTGGGCTCCTGTCTCCTACCTTCGGGCCCTTACCTCTGTGTCCCTCAGCTTCAGGTGGGCTGACTTTTCTCCTCACCGTGCTCTGACTCAGTGATTGATCATCCTCATCACTTCCAGCTCCTTGGATCCCCTTTGCTTTTACTGAACTTGTCTGGGGAAACCACATCCTAGTTAAATGCAACTCTTGGCTTATTTCAGGTCCCTAGCGTGGCTGGAGAAAATAACCAGCTAGGCTGTCTGGTCTCATTTTAAATTCATGAGCTCCTTCTCAACTGAGTCTTTAGTTCTGCCTTGCAATCCTGTAATATTTCCCTAGTTGTTTCACTCTCCTGCTTCCAGAGGTAACTCCTTCACACCTCCTAAACTGCCTTCCTCCATTTTAATCTCAGTTTATGGTACTTATTTCTTATTTCATGGAGAAAATAGAAGCAGTACAAAAAGGAACTTCCCCTTGCTCTCACTGCGTGCCAAATCTTTTTTTCTAACTGTATCTGTAACAACATATGAACTATTTGTGCTTCTAACTAAAGCCAGCCTCTGTAACTTGTGCCACGGAAGTCATTCCCTCTTCGGTGTCTGGGGACTCACTTACTCAGGTGTCACTTCTCTCTCTCTCATGCATTTTCCCTCTCTGCCACACCATGATTACTGTAATACCTCCCATCTTAAACACAAAAGCCAACCTTGATCCCACAGCCTTATCCACCTACATTCCTGTTTCTTTGGTCTCCTTATGGCAAAGAGGTATTCACAAATTGTCACATCCACTGACCATAAGCCACCCCAACATTTATTAAGGCTTTGTTACATTATCGGTTTGAGAAATTGGTTTTGTTAAATATGGTAGATACAGAATGCTGTTGGAGATTTTGGACATGTTTGCAAGTTAGGTTGTCTGAAATTTGTATAAGGAGCTGTGTATACTTATCCCAATTTACTGAACAGAGAACACTTTTAGTAAAAACCTATGGATATTTTCATAGCTCTTTTTTAAACATAATTTGAGAAATGTTCAACTACTCAATTAAAATAATGGACAATTTGCTTAAAATATTGTACTTCTCAATTTGAGAGAAGAGTCCAGACCGCCTTCCCCTGTCCCCACTCAGAATTCTGTGCTGTGTTTAGTGGTAGAGGTGACATCATAGCTCAGAAACTTCTTAAGGTTCTGTCACTGACCGAACTACCTATTTTGGATAATTATATTTAACCAGGGCTGTTATTATTAAGATACTTGTCGGGCGCCTGGGTGGCTCAGATGGTTAAGCGTCTGCCTTCGGCTCAGGTCATGATCCCAGGGTCCTGGGATCAAGTCCCGCATCGGGCTCTCTGCTCCTTGGGAGCCTGCTTCTCCCTCTGCCTCTCTCTCTCTCTGTCTCTCATGAATAAAGAAATAAAATCTTTAAAAAAAAAAAAAAAAAGATACTTGTCTTACTTTTCTGGAAGGTGGAATGTTATTTTCCTTAAACATGTTCTTAAACAAGCTTTTTGTGGGCAAATCTTTTTTTTTTTTTTTCCTTTTTTTGGCTTTGGTCTAATTCAGTAGACTGGCTCTTCTCATCACTATATAACACATGTGAACTCTATAGCCTTTCTAATTGAAATGAAATTACTTCTCTGTTTTAGGTGTCTGGAGTAGATTTGCAGAATGCCTCACACAGAGAAGCAGTGGAGGCCATTAAGAATGCGGGAAATCCTGTGGTGTTCGTTGTTCAGAGCTTGTCATCCACTCCAAGAGTAAGCTTTAGTTGATATTTTCAAAAAATTTAAAAATACTCTATATATCTATGGACCAAGCTTTTGCCTCCATGTATTTTTCCACTTATTTTGATTTTGATCCTACTATTGCCTAGAAGAAACATTACTTCATAAAAACTTAGTTATTAACTTCACTTTCCCTTTTTTTCCTTTGATTTTGGTCTTTTGGTTAACTTTGAGTCATTCCAGTCTGCCTTGGTCTAAGTCACAGGCTGTGGAGTCAGACCTGTTTTCCATTCCTTAATTCCCTGTTGACCAGCTTTGCTGACTTAGAGACAAGTTACTTAACTTTTCTGAGTCAGTTACTTTGTTTATAAAATACTTGGAACATAAAGGGGGTCAGATATGAAAACGTTCTAGAGGTACCTCCATGCTCTGTGTAGTTATTAAAGAGTGTAAAAATGCAGACATGGTGCATTGTTGTATGTTCTGTTGGACATCCTGAATTCAAAACTAGCAGTATTTAATCATAACACTTTTATCTGTAATAAATTACCCTTTCGGTATGGAATTAGAACTTCGATACATAGATGTCAGTGGCAGGATATGTATTTTATTTTGCAATATGCAGCAGAAATATCACCCCTAAGCCCTGTGACTGGAAGAAATGTTTATTTTTCCTTTTTATAGTGGAAGACAGCTGTTCAAAACATAGGCACTTCTGAACAGTAGAAAAACTGCATTTTTTAAAAATGCTTTTCAATAAGTGAGGCAGTGCTTTTCGACCTTTTGTATGTCAAGGCATACAGAAAATAATATATGTATGGCAACCTGGGCGAACAGATGTTTGGCGGCCCTGAGGGTGGGGGCGAGGCATCAATACATTTTGACATACTTGTACCCTGCCTGCACACACGGGACTACAAGCTCACCCCACTGGGGCAGCTCTGCTGGAGTGCGCTCTGTTGCAGTATGACCCCTCCCAGTCTCAGTGCTGTGTTTACACCGACAAGACTCACCGAGAATGGTGAACTGAATAAAGTCTTCTCATTTTCATACAATTTGAAATTTGGGGGAATACACTTTTTAATTCTTTTTTTTGGAATCCAGGTTTTTGGAATCCACCTTTTAGCTCTTACAATATTGAGAAGGTCGTTGAGGCTATCACTTTTATTTCTGGAAACTGAGTTCCATAGGAAAATTGGCCAAATTATTCCTTGCCAAATGGTACTTCCAAAGAAACAGTTTTGAGCGAGAATGAGCCAATTACTTGATACCTTTAGGTGGCCACTTCTGACTACCCTGCCAAAAAATATTCAAAGCAAAAAAAAGGAGGTTATAAAGTCAACCAAAAAGTCCAAGCATGCATTTAATCCATCCTTTGCTGGTGAGCTAAGGTGGAAATTATCGCTTAGATGACACAAACAGTGCAATTTCTGTCACTGCTCAAAAAAAGAATTAATCTTTTTAGCATCATGTCATGCTCAAGTCACTTATTCCCCGTGCAGCACAAGAGACTGCCACATTGTGCATTTAGTTCATCAAGCACTGAACTATCTTTGGTTCTAGTCAAGGGAGCACATTCAGGTGATGGAGTAAATTTCTGTGTCCATGACTTGTTCCATTTTTTAACAGAAAGTGATTCCTTTTTTTTTTTTTTTTGGTAAGATTTTATTTATTTATTTGACAGAGAGAGACACAGCGAGAGAGGGAACACAGCAGGGGGAATGGGAGAGGGAGAAGCGGGCTTCCCACAGAGCAGGGAGCGCGATGCAGGGTTCGATCCTAGGACCCTGGGATCATGACCTGAGCTGAAGGCAGATGCTTAATGATTGAGCCACCCAGACGCCCCACACAAAGTGATTCCTGTTGAATGAAGTGTTGAAAGGAATCAAGTTTCCTATCTTTGCAGAATGGCCCTCTCTTTGGCTTATTTATTGTTGCAAGTAGTATTGGTCATCAGAGGAATAGAAAATACAGCCAAATGCTTAATCATTTTCGACCACTTTACATTAAACTTTGAGACTTCCTGCAAAACCCCAAAGAAGTCATTTTCTGACATTGGGATCATCAACGCCCCTATGTCTAAAGTGCCCTGGTCACATGGAGATTGTCATCAACATCATGAATTGAGCAGTGGTGTTTATATTTGTACTTTTTTTTTATTCTTTGAGTTATATTTTACTTTTTTATATTTGCGCTTTTAAAAGATGTTTTCGGAGTATCACCAATATATTACCTTTTTAAGCTTTTTCTCCTGAATTCCGCTGGAAAGAAATGTGTGTATCCACTTAGATTTATTTGGCAAATGCTTACTGGAGAGCAGAACTGATGATTTATACTGCACTCTGCTATAGAAAGTTTTTATGCCAGCATATTTTTTCCCCCACTTAATAACATAACTACATTTCACATATTATTTTTCCACATTTCAAAACAAACCTGTTTGAAATTGGGATCATTATTAAATTTCATTAGATTTATTATCCTATGCTGCTTTCTGTTCCCCTGTATTCCATTTGTTCTTCTCTAATATCATGGTTTCATAATGGCACCTTTTTAAACTTTATGTGTACATTTGCATATTAAACATATAAAAATAGTTTTTACTTTCACAAGAAACATGCTGTCTTCTACTTTTATTAAAGATGCCGGGGGCGCCTGGGTGGCTCAGTCGTTAAGCGTCTGCCTTCGGCTCGGGTCCTGATCCCAGGGTCCTAGGATCGAGCCCCGCATCGGGCTCCCTGCTCCGCGGGAAGCGTGCTTCTCCCTCTCCCACTTCCCCTGCTTGTGTTCCCTCTCTCGCTGTATCTCTCTCTGTCAAATAAACAAAATCTTAAAAAAAAAAAAAAAAAAAGATGCGGTCTTCTTGGTGAGCCTTTTGTCTTCCAAATTTGGCTAATGATACATTTACAGAGATTTCTTTCTGTGCTATTCAAAAAAAACAGTGTAAACCTTGTGGGTGGCAACTGACATTGTTTCCCATCCCAGAGCTTCTGCTGTTCAGCTTCAGCTGGTTTTTTCCATGGTTTGAGAAAGTAGGTCCAGTGTGGACAGGTATTCTGACTTGTCAGGAAGGCAAAGTATTTTGTTTTAAGATTCATCAGGATAAGAAATACGACCAGGTTTTGAACTTGGGCCTTTGATGGTCCCAATGTTATAAAATGACTTCTTTTGGGGTTTTGCAGAAAGTCTCAAAGTTTAATGAACTCGGACATGGACTTGGATTGTTGTTTGTATTAAATAGAGGAATAAATACTAAGCACTAACAGTGTCTGTTCACATACAAAACATTATATGTTGATCAGTGTCATTACTATTTTCTTTCTATCTATCTATCTATCTATAAGGAGGCTCCATGCCCAATGTGGGGCTTGAACTCATGACCCTGAGATGAAGAGTCATGTGCTCTACCAACTGAGCCAGCCAGGTGCCTTTGTTGTTTTTTATTTTTATTGAAATGAAACATTCCTGAGACTTTCTCATTTATTCCAAAATCAGTTTATTTCTTTACACTCTATATTAAAGGTGAAGAAAATTTAATCTTAAATTGCATTTAGAGAGAGGTGTTTTTTGCTGTTTTGTTTTGTTTTAAAGATTTTATTTATTTATTAGAGAGAGAGAGAGAAAGCACAAGCAGCAGGAGTGGCAGGCAGAGGGAGAAGCAGACTCCTCTCTGAGCAAGGAGCCCAATGTGGGACTCGATCCCAGGATCCTGGGATCATGACCTGAGCCGAAAGCAGATGCTTAACCGACTGAGCCACCCAGGCATCCCTGTTTTGTTTTGTTTTTTAAATTACCCCTAGGCAGGCAGTTTCTTTACATTTCTGGGAAAGGAGATTTTTTTCTTAACCTTCATGTCTGTCATCAGATTCTATGCCAAGATTATTTGTGTTAGCTATTTGAGGAGGCTTAAAACAAAAAAGATCACTAAAAATTTTATATTTTCCCAAGATGTTTCATAGATTGTTTTGTAAAAAGAAATGAGTCAAAAAGTAAACTATGCTGTTGGCACCATTGAGAATTAAAAGTATTTCTATGAAATGGAACTATTTTGTTCATGTATAAACATTTATTGAGTGCAGCTATGTAATAGGTTCTTTCTGAGCACTATGTATAGTGATAAATCACTAAATTCCAGCTCTCATTGAGCTTTTATCCAGGGATGTAAATAGATTTGTAATTTATCTTCATGCTAACAGTAATAGTGAAGTATTTATTGAGAGTGCACGGTGTACTAGATAACATACTTGAATTGGGGTACAATGATGAATAAGGTAAAACTATCAAATGATGCATCCTGTGTTCTAGGGAGAGGTTTATGTAGGTCACCCCTAAAACTATTTTGCAAAATGAGATGTTGGGATGATAATCAGTATTGTGATTTTTTTTTTTTTGTCATTTTCACTTTCTGGATCTACACATATTGTGAGTTTATTGTTCTTTGATGTTACATACACACACACACACACACACACACACAATATTTTGAGTCACCTAGCTTGTAATATTTTTCAGACTGTATTGTTTGCTTTGAATTATACTTCTCATGTCTTTACTTTTTAGATGAAGTTAGAGACTTAAGTAAGATTTTAACTTTAAAAATTAAGAAATGTAATGATTGTGACATTTAAATGTTTTATTCCTTCTCCCCCCCCCCTTTTTTTTGTGGTCATAGGTCATTCCTAGTGTGCCTAACAAGGCTAACAAAATCACTAATAACCAGGACCAAAACACTGAAGAAAAAAAAGAAAAGGTAACTTGAACCTCTCAAGCCTTTAAAAAATGTTTTTGGTGTCTTTTTGCCTATCTGAGCTGCAGTTAATGAGAATGGTGTTTTGACTAGTAATCAGGCTAGAAGGACTGTGTTATAATGTTTCCTTCCTATGAATATAACTGGTTCTGGCCAGGATGAAGGCCAGAAACATAGTGAAACATAGGTGCAAAAATGTGATAAAGCACCAATCATCCCTCGTCATCGTTGTCTGTCTTTCCTGTTCAGTTGGGCTAGTTGTCTGTCCATTCCCAGAAAATGCCTCTTACTCTTGGGAACTTATGGGACGTTGATCTTGCTGTTCTCTCAGCCTGGAAATCCATTTCCCACATTGCTCCTCCTTTTATCCTCCAAGGAGGAGCTCAAAGTTATCTCTACTGAGAAAACATTCCTTACCATCAATCAAAATTAGTCATCCATTTCTGTTCTCCTACCTCTATTCTAGCAGTTAAGTCGATCTAAAATTTATTTTAGGATATGCTATTAGGTAGGGATGAATTTTTATTTTTTCCTCATAAAGAGAACTATCCTAGGGGCGCCTGGGTGGCTCAGATGGTTAAGTGTCTGCCTTCGGCTCAGGTCACGATCCCAGCATCCTGGGATCGAGCCTCGCATTGGGCTTCCTGCTCAGCGGGGAGCCTGCTTCTCCCTCTCCCTCTGCCTTTCTCCCTGCTCATGCTCTCTCCCTCTCCCTCTCTCTCTCTCTCTGTATCTCTGTGTCTCAAATGAATAAATAAAAAAATCTTTAAAAAAAAAAAGAGAACTATCCTACTGTTTAAAATCGGTCCGCCTTTGCCTCCTGACTTGTAGTGCAACTTGTACTAGCTCAGGCTATCAGGAGGGGTCCGCTTCGGAACGTTCTCTTTGTTCCCCATGTCTATCCCAGCACAAATGCTATACTAGCTCAGTTCTTAAAGCCTAATGATAATAAATGTTGTTTTCTAGTAGAGCAATTTCCTTTACATATTTCTTCTTCTTTAGAGGTGTCTTACCTATTTGTATCCTTTTTCTTTTCCCTATGAATTTTAAGACTAGCTTGTCAAATTCCACAAAAAAATCTCTTTGATGATTTTGATGGGAATTGTATCATATCTGTAGATTAATTTGTAAAGAAATTATATCTTTATGATATCCGACCTTTTTAATCATTTACATGGTATATCTGTCTATATATTAAATTCTTTTTTTTTTTTTTCAATTTTATGATTTTCTTGAGAAAGGTATTGTAAATCTTTGGTTTATTCCTAGATACTCTTACATTTTGTATTGCTTTTAAGTATTTTATATTGCATTTTCTGTTTGTTGCTAGTATGTAGACATAAAATTGATTTTTTTATGTATTTATTTGACATCTTGTAACATTATTCCATTATTCTTTTTTTTTAATCTTTTTTAAAATTATATATTTGAG